TACCTGAAGGGGCCTGGGGAGGCACAGGTCACTGGACACGAACCCCAGGAATCCCCCAGAGGTTCCACGTCTCCTGGCGGTTCGTCTCCCCCTGCTACTTCTGTCTTCCACACCGATGCGTTCCTGGGAGCCGACGAGCCCAAAAGTGCGGGCGCTGAAGCCGCCATGCAAAACTGCATGGGCGACGAGCCTAGCTGGCGCCGTTTCCCTGCGAGTTTCGCGCTAGATGCTGCCACATAATGGCTTAGATCGCAGCTTTAGATTTCGGTCGGGCATGTCCCCCTACAGGCGGATTCTGTGCGAAAAATACAAAATAGTCAAAACAAAAAACTTCAAAAATGTTCAAACATGTTTGAGAGGTCGTCCCTGGACTATTTTTGACTATTTTTGAACATTCCTCCTGTAGAGAGACATGCCCGACTTAGCTTTAAACTCGGCATGTGTCTTTTACTGTACTGCACCTGTGATGTACTCTTCTGCCTCGCGGTGCCTGTGATTTTTTTTTTTCCAGCGCGCCTGTGACTGCGCGCCTGACGGCGCTTGGATCCTCTGTCTCCCCAGGCACCCGACGTCACGATTTTGTCATGACGTCGATCACCAGGGGTCATGACTTGCTTCATGATGTGTCATGTTTTGTTACATGACTTTCCATGTTTTTTTTCCACGACGTCATGATGTTTCATGATGTCTTTGTAATTTCATGACGTCATGATTTTGTCATGACCCATTACCCGGGACCGGGTTCTCATTCCTAGTCGTTCCTTGACGTCCTTCGGCCCGGTGAGGGCCCCCAGAGGCCGAAAATTGTGAAAACCCCCCCGTCGCGATTTTGTCATGACTCGAGGGGGTCTGGGCCCATCTCTGGGAGTCGACGACTCTTTGTGGTCGTGTGTTTTGCTTCCCCTCCTGGGGCGAGACTCCCTCGCCGTCCGAGCCTGGGCCCCAGTCGGCGCTCCTCTCCCCGACCCTCTGGGCACCTCCCACCCCGCCCCCCCCCCCATCTCCAGGCCCGCCTCCTCCAAGGAGGGGAGGGGAGGGGGAGGGGAGGAGAGCGAGGACGGAGGAGGCGGAGGGAGCAGGGCCCTTCCTCCTTCTCCTCCTCCTCCTCGTCCTCCTCCTCCTCCTCGTCCTCCTCCTCCCCCTCCTCCTCCCTTCTCACCCTCCTCCTCCCTCCCCCAGGTCCTCCCTCCCGGGGCTCGACCTAAACGGTGTTCTCGTCATCGTGTTCGTTGCCATTTTCCCTCGGATTGGCTTCGTTCCTCCGTTGCTGCACAACGGAATCAAGACGAAAAGAGTCCACGAAATCGCCAAAACAACCCCCAGGCCGAGCCCCGGGGAGGACCTGGCGGAGGGAGGCGGGGAAGGGGGGGAGGGAGGGAAAGGGGAGGGAGGGGGGGGGGAGAGGAGGGGACGAGAAGGGGATGAGAAGCGAGGAGGGAGTGCGGGCGAGGAGGGGGGGGGGGGGCGGGCGAGCGAGGGCGAGGAGGAGGCGGCGCACGAGCAGGAGGACCGCCCCCGCTCCGCGGCGGCGGTGGCGACGCTGAGCGAGGCGCTGCACGGGCGGGGCTGCAGGGCGCGGCGCGGGAGCTGCCGGGGAAGCGGAGGGAACAGACGGACTCGCCCTGCCCTGGCGTAATTGCCCGCCTCCTGCAGGCAGCTCGCGGGGGCCTCCCGGCGCCCCCTCTCCTCCCGCAGGCAGCTCGCGGGGGCCTCCCACGTCGTCCTGCTGGCTCCTGCGAGCCGCCGCTGGCCGATGCACACGTCGGCGCTCGCTGGCGCCGGATCGGCGCTCCCTCGGCGCTCCGTCGGCAGGTTCCCAGCGCTGGCCGTGACGCGCACGCCGGCGAAGGCACTCCGAGAACGGCACTGCGAGGACAGGCGAGGCTCCCCTGATCAGCGGCGCGCCCGGAGGGCGAGCGAGGAGGAGCAGGGCTGCCCAGAACGCCCAGGAGGCCCGGGGCGTTCGGCGAAGTCTTCTGCCTCCTCCTCCTCCTCCTCCTCCTCCTCCTGCTCCTCCGCCTCCTCCTCCTCCTCCTCCTCC